TATGAATCCAGTGTCCAGCAGAGCCCGCACACAGCGGAGTTGGCCTGTCCCAGGAGGTTGAAAATGAGGGTGGAAACGAGCACCAGGAGGAGGTGCTGCCACAGAAAGGTCTTGCTTCTCTGGAAATGACGCTCACCGAAACCTCGCGTCTCACTTGAGCCCTGCTGTGAGGTGACGTGTGCCTGTGGCTAGGAGAGAGGCCGCTGTGCCTTTATCTTTCTGTTTCTACGAAGAATCAGAACTGTTGCTTCTCCTTTTCCAAAATGGAGAGTAGTAATTGCAACCAGCACTTTCTCTGTGTAAGGCTTATTGTTTCAGCTTCTCCTGTCATCCTGTTGTAGGCCAAAATGACAAGACTCTAAATGACCTGTCCTTCTCTGAAATAAAAATAATTTAACAAAGGATCTTACCCTAATATTTTGTACATATATGAACTCATATATACATATAATATTTATATAATACTTCTTTTTTTTTTTTTCCTGTTAGGAAATTTCTATTATGCCAACCTGATTCTCATCCAAAGATTTCTCTTTCCCTCCCTTACTTCAAGACTTTAAAAACTTCCCACAACTGTATTCTCATTTCTGAAAGGCAGCTATATGGAAATTGTTTCCTGCAGTTACCCTCCTATTTGTTCTGAAGAGTTCTAGTTTCGGGACTGAAATCAGTCACAGGTTTTCCCTGAAGAATATTTTAGACGAAAGTTGATGTTTCCTTATTTTAAATATTTGTACCAAGAAACTAAGCATGACTGAGTTTTAGTACAAAAGCTAAGTAGAAGCAAAGTATTTCAGACAGATCAAAACATACCATTCTGAAATTTTTGAAAAAGAAGCTGGTTGGTTTTTTTTTTAATAGCTTTGGAATGCATTTCAAACGGGCTTATATTACAAAAAGCTTTGAAAATTTTAAAAGATCAAAATCAAACTGAAACACAAATTTTGTCCAAATATGATTGAATAAAAATTGCTTTCCCCACATTTTACTCCAGGAAGTTTTCATTCCATTTCAGAAGGAAATAATATCTCAGAATCCCAGCTTTCTCTTAAATGGAAAACCCACCTTCACCCTATATTCTTTAAACAGATCAGGGTTATAAGAGGTTTATAAACCTTTGAAAGTGTACCAAACTATGGGCTTCTGCCCTTCATTCCTTGTCGAATTATGGAATTCTTCAAGCTGCCTCTTTCAAAATTTCCCATTTGGCTTCATATCATAGAACCTTTTCATTTTCCCAACAGTAGTTCCTCATACTTCTGTGGCTAAATTGTGAGTTTGTTCAGTCCTGGTTTGGATAACATGCACGATTGAAACCGCTTTGGTCTTCCGCAAAAATTCCACTCATGAGCCATGGGGAAGCAGAAGGAATGCTGCGCTCTTCTGCGCGGCTTCTGTGCAGACCAGCAAAACGAATGGAACACACTAATCACAGGTTTTGGGGCTCGCTCTACAAACATAATCTGCCCCTAAGGCCCCAGCTATCACATCTCCTATTCACCTTGTGAATCTCTAGAACTTGTGCAAACACTTTGGACTCAAAGCATATAAATTACCTAATTCTCTCATATCTGTGAAAAACTTACTCATTAAAACTTCTAAAGTTTAACAGTGCTGTCAAGCGTTCACAGAATGCTTTGCATTAATGGAAAATCCAGTGTAGAAATGAATAATGGCCTGGTTTATGAAACAAAATATTCAGAATGTAGAAAATTTATGTTACTATTGATAGATCAATACAACTGATTGAATCCCTACAGGTAAAGTCAATGTCCCTTGCATTTTTACTTCTGGTGTGTCACATAAGGAAGTGTAACTAGATTGAGGCAATGCAAGCCAAGACTGTAAATATATGTCTGTATGACACATTTATTAATGTCAGTCTCAGTTTTTGGGGTGTTGCAGCCAGATGCACATTTCGAGGTAAGTTCTGTAGCTTCTCTGAGTTTTGATCTCCTTTTTCTGATTTTTATTTGCAAATTCAGGGCCAGCTTGACTATCAATAAAAAGATCTCTTTTTAACATATATCATAAATAACTAGGTGCTTTGGCTTTGCACAAATCCTCTGTAGTTCAGATAACATTTCTCCTTCCCCTTGCCTTTCCTTTTCCTATTTCTTAGTTATGCCCAGGCCATGGAATCTGCTCTGTACCTCAATAGTTGGCAGTAGTTTGAGGATAACTTGAAATATATCTGTATGGTGGAGCATGATGCAGAGAACTTAGAAAGAAAAAGGGCTCCCAGCACAATACTGTCCAGACAGGCAAACTGGGGTCTGGAAGCAGCAAAGCTGCACTCAAACAGCTGTTGTTCTAGACGGATTCAGGACACTGAATTAAGCCTGCAGAAACTGTAGAACCTGCAATAAGGAATGCAAAAAAGATACATGAATAAATATCAAGTTGAGGGGCAGATTCAGAAGGACTCTTCTGAAAGGAAATCCTGCCCTGCCTATCTAGAAACTTCTTCGAAGGAGTCAATGAACATGCAGATAGTAGAGGTCCTGTTGATAGGATCTACTTGGATTTCCAAAAGACTTGACAAGGTCCTTTACTAAAGGCTCTTAAAAGATAAGCTCCCATAAGGAAGGTGCTTTATTGGTTGGTCTCACTAATTGGTTAAAAGATAAGAAACAGAAGAAAGAGAGAGTCTCTGCAATTGAGAAAATGGTAGGGAAATGGAGGCAAATAGAGAAAGGACAAAGTTTGCTGATGAGATAAACCCTTCCCTGTGATGGTGTTAATTCAGCCAAACCAGAGCTATCTGCAAAGGGTTGCAGAAGGACCTTAGGGAATTGAGTACATGGTTGCCAAAATAGCATATAGTAATACCTGCAAGTATTAAATTATGCATATGGCAAAAAAAAAAAAATCACTAAATTTATGTAAACAGTGATGGGTTATGAATGACCTGTCACCTTTCAGGAAAGAAATCTTGGTGGAATTAAATAGTTCGTAAAAATATCAGTTCAGTTTAGTAGTCAGGCACAGTCAAACTACGAAACCGAACACCAGGCATTGTTAGGAAAAGAAACAGAGGGGGAAAAGTGAATTAAAGGTAAATATATTGACCTGCATTTTGAGAGTTGTGTGGAGTTCATGTCCCCATCCCATATCAAGGATGATCAAGGGTATGGAACTGGTTTTATATTAAGACTAAAAAGGTTAGGACTCTTCATCTGGGAAAAGGAGATGACTGACAGAGGATGTAAGAGTAGTCTGTAAAATCACAAATGACATAGAGGGGATGAATATTTTGATCTTTGTGTTTACAGTGTCATGATATCAGAAAATGGGAGCATGATGTGGAATTTTCAAGTGGCAAGTATTTTTCCACAGAGCAGGGGTAAATTGTGGAACTCGTTTGCACATCTTATAGATGCCAAATTTTGCATGGGTTCAAGGAACAATTAACAGAACAAAAGTCCATGAAGAACTGTTAAGCCTAAAGAATCCATCTTTCAGGAAACTGCTGTGATGCAAACCCCTTGAGGCTAAAAGAGCGTATGAGGAGAGTGCCCTTAGGTGCTTATTCTGTTCTTGTAACTCTTCTGTAGGTATCTTTGTTGTTGGCTGTCAGAGACCGGATATTGAATTAAATGGACCTTTGGCTTGATGGTTGTCCCTATGCTGTGGTTGTAATCTGAAGATAATTCATCGTAGAATTGCTCTCCTGAGTGCTGAGAAGTGGTTCAATGATGATGGTTTGTATCTGTCCGATGCTTCTTTCCTGCCTTCTCTGCCTCGTGGTTTTTGCTCCATCTTTCTTCTCTTCTAAATAGTCACTAAAACATCACTGTTCACATGAACTTTCATTTTGGGTAGCGTTGTTTACCCGTCTTTCTTTGGAGTCCAAATTTTTGTAATTCCATTACATGGCACTTTCTTACCTGACTGAAGAGTGGCAGGAACAGAGATCTACTTCTGTTTATGTAACCGGTCTCTGGCGCTGCATAGGAGAGAATAATTCACATACATCACGCAAAGCAGAACCTGACACTTTTGACAGCAGCTTTGAGATGAAACAGCATTTTACAACCACTCTCAAGCAGATCAGAGGGGGAAAGCATTTACCAAAGCAGTAGTAAAGGAAGAAGAGAATTAACGGTAAAATCAGTAAAGATGAAAGTAAGCACATTGGGAACATTACGCTGCGGTAACACTGGGACTTTTTTTCTTAAAAATCGTGGGTTTGTAGCACTATTGCTGCAGGGTTTGACTGGTAGAAATAACAGAATAGACCGGTGTCTGATGACAAGACATTCTCTTCTCTGCAGGTGCTGCCTGCGGGGGTGCCTAGGCACAGGAATCAGTGGCGCGGTAGCACACACCACCGGGTGGCTGTCGGGTGGCCAGCCGTGAGCTGTGAGGGTGTAGCCACGTAGACTTCAGTGGCGACTAGGCGCTAGTTAGTGGTGGGGAAGGACCATGGTGAAACACCTGGCAATGCAACCCCTGCTAGGTCCATCTCCAAGGGGTTGTATGGGCCCCTGTGGGTGCTGGAGGACTTCAGGGCGGATTGTGCAGGTAGCGATGGAAGAGGGAGGGCTGGGGGCTAACCTGCCTTGAAACGAGGGAGCCCAAGGCTTGCCTAGTGATGGAAGGGATAAACGGGCGAGGTGTTTGGTGTGTCAGGCAACTTGGACGCAAGGAGGAGGAGGAAATGACTCAGAAGCTGAAAATGATGAGTTTCTTAATACTTGTTTAGGGAGGGGGCTAAGAACGCGTTACCCTCGCTATAACCGACAGCGAGAGCATTTAATCGTCTCAGCCTGGTGGGGCAAACCACGGGCCACGGCTGACCCCCCGCAAGCCAACCTGCCCCCCCGGATAGGTGCGGGGGTGGTGGGTATGTCAGGTCCCCCGCCGGTCGCGGGGCTGCCGGTGCTCCCCCGGGGCGGGGCGGGAGCGGCGGGGGAGGTGTGCGTGGCCGCCGGGAGGAGCCGGGCGGGGCGACCCGCAGCCCCTCGCCGGCTCTCTCCAGGCGGCGGACCGGCCTGCGCGCCGCCCTCCCGCCGCTGATGCAATCGGAGCCCGCGAGCGGCGGCAACGGCCACGGCGGCAAACGGCAGCGGATCGGCCGGCCGGGAGTCCGCCCAGCGCCCCGCCGCCGCCGGGGAACCGGGGAGCCGGAGGAGAGGGCTCCGGCAGCAGCAGCGCTGCCCGCCACCAGCGGCGGCCCGTCGGGGGGGAGCCCGCTCCGCCGCCGGGGAAATACCCGGCGTTTGCCAGCATGATGAAGGTAAGCGGGGCGGCTTTCCTGCCCAGAAATCCCCTCGTCCATCCTTCGGGGGATGCGGCGTCGCAGAGGGAGTTTTTCCTTCGGCAAATGAGGACAGCGGTAGTTCAGGGATTTGTATTTACAGATTTTAACGCTCTATTTTATTTTATTTTGAATTTATGCTTTGCGAAGGGGATTTCTGTCCCTAGGAGATTTGCTGTTTGAGATTCAGAAGCAGGATGTGTGTGATTCTACCTCTTTCCGTGTTCTTTCATTGCAGGCAGCATGTGTCGGGAGGGAGAAGAGGGGGAAGGGAAGGTGTATAATTTCCTTTGGGGGGTGGGGGGCTGTGGGATTTCTTACTGTTTTATTTGTAACATGAGACTCTTAATGATTAAAAAGGAAAAGAAAACTGCGAAGGATATGGTATCCTGGCAGGCATCATGCCTTTTTATGCTTATGCATTTATTATAGGTCTTATGTCTGCCATTGTACTAAAATAGACTATGGGTAAAACCCAGTGACGTGTATTTAGAGGTTTTGAGTAATTTCAGGAGTAACTTTAACTAATGAAAGAGGAGCTGGTGGTGGTGAACCCTAACGTGAGAGATGATCATCTGTGGGAACTATCCTTTTATAAATGTCACGTTTATGTTCCTCTGCTTAGTGAGGCTGATCTGGGGATTAAAAAGAAGTCTTCCTTGTCAAGACAAAGGGCGTGGAGATAGCACGGGTGCTTTTCAGTTAGATTGAGGGAACATCACAGCAACTTTATACCCTGTGGAACAGCTGCACTAAGGGTAATTCTTGGGTTTTGAAGAAGGTCTGTGCTGGGCTGCCTGTAAACTTCACAGCCACAGCCTGATGCCAAAGTTAACAGCTGAGGAAAAACAAGACTGAGTTATTTGCTCTCGTTGGGTAACTATAACAGATGGAATATAGGCACAACAGGTATGTGACTGGCAGCTCCTCTCTGCTTCTGGTGACAAGTGTTACTCTCATCAGCATTGCTAGACCTGCCCAGGAGAGAGCAGTGGTGCAGGTGCTAGTGATGATGGCGGGGCTGGAGTGGATGAGTGCTCTGGAGGAGCCTCAGGAGGCTCTGATTAGACCCATTTGTGCTTTCTGTGACTGGAGAGTGGCAGACCAGCCATGGCAGAAAACGGATCTGAAACCGCTCAGGGAAAATACCCAAGCAGCTGCCCCAAGCCAGAACGCTTAGGGGCAGAATGCAGGCATGTCAAGGAGTGAGACAGACTGTCGTGTTTTATATCACTTTTGATGTACCTGTTGTGTGTCTAGGAAAGAGGGCATGATCCAAGTCTCTGGGGTATTATCCAGCACCTGGCAGTAATACTCTGGCGTGCCCATGCCAAAAACAAGTGGCAGGCAAGCCATAGACCTGCCTCCCTGTTTGCTCAAAGCAGTGTTGACATCTCCTTGGGTTCTTCTCACCTGCACAAAACCTGATTTTGCTGTGTATTTTTATTATAGAAAAGACAGCATGAAGCAATAGCTAACACTCTTGTCACTTGCAAGTGGTGTAGCCTTGGGCAAGTCAGCTCTGTCTGAGCCCTTTACCCTTTATTTGCCTCATCTGTTCAGACTGGAAGCTCTTCAGGGTTATAGCTGTCACTGTGTATTTGCAGAGCATGTATCAAAGATGCAGAAAATGACCATTTGATTATCATTTCGCTTATGCAAAACCCAATAAATTCATAAAGGTGTCAGTAAGCAACAGCATTTTTACAGCTTCTTATCCTTTCATCTCCCCCTTCATAATTTCATGCTTTTAGTCATAACCCTCCATTTCTCCTTGAACCACCTCCAGCCCAACCTCAACCTTCTCTTTCTGGCCTGCTTAAAGGAATGTTATGTATAAGAAATGAATTATGCCTCTGGTTTTTGCAGTTCTGCCTTGTCCACCTATTGCACTGATTGTTAGTGACAGCTGAGCACTCCTAGCATTGTGTGATCCAGTGGATATCCTCATTTTCCCCATGGAAACTGAGTATTGAAATCTGCTGCAAAGTCATAGGTAAACAAGGAGGTTGCAAAATCATTAGGTAGCTTTAACACAGCTGATGTCTTGCTAAATCAGTCCATAGCCCGTATCCTTGGTTTAATTTGGTAGATGAAAATTATTCAAATGGAATTCACTAGTGACGAGTTTGTCCCTGGGAAGGCATGTTAGGAAAGGAGGTAAATCAGCTCATTAATTGTGTAAGCGCTCAGATACTCTGAATTTGTTCAGCCATTTTAAAACCGTTTCTTTGGTGTGAGCACGCTAAAGGATCAGAGTGGACATTACTTTCATTACTTCCTTATTGTTGTGCCATTTTCTTACATGAATAATCATAGCTGAACATATAGCAAACTGCAGATTATTGGCAGGTATGAAGCCAGGACCTTCATTGTTAGAATAAAGGACTTAAGAGGTAAATTCTGTTTGGAAAATTTGCATAATTAGCCCTCTTAGACCACAGGCATGAGGACTGGCATCTTCATGTCACTACAGTGACATGTACTCCACAGTGTTAGATAAGCTCAACTTCTATGAGCTCAAGCCTCTCAATACTGATTGTGGCTTTTGATAATAAATTGAGGCTATCTAATTGCCACAAAGGCTATGATGTAGACATTAAATGCACAACCTTCATCTTGAATATCTGAATGCTGATGATATTTACATCTAAATCACAGTAGTAGTGACTCTAATTTGTTATTCGTAGTCACAAACTTGCAACTTGATACCTGCAGTTCTTACATAGGATGAAGTGACTAGGTGGTCCCATTTACCTTGGAAACAATTTAATTACTTTATGGCTTTAGACATTAAAGGGACAGGTAATATTACCTCATAAAATCCAGCACCTGTTGTAGAAGGGCAATTTAGCAAATATCACCATATGCTATTGCAGATGAAAATCCAGTGTTATGCTTATAGAAAGGCCTAATGTTACCACACTAATGGTGTGCATATCAAATGATCTAAAAGAGTTAACATGAACTAAATAATTGAAACTATCATTAAAATGATCAAGAATTTTTACCCATCTGTCTTTTTTGCATCTTGGCCCATAGTTTATTACTTTTTTTTCCAAACTAATGTCATAATACCCTTCCAAAAGAGTTACTCATTTACTTTCTTCCCTTGAGGTCTGCAGTTTGTTCCAAGTTTTATTTTAGAGTATACCTGGTGCATTAATGAAGTGTAGCATATGACTTCTCAGTAGGTACACAGCTGCTGCTAATTCAGTTTGCCTATTAGAGCATTTCACACAGTATTTGATAAAAACACTTTTAGTAAGCACAGAAAATATATTGGTTTTCCTGGGACACAAATAGGGTTTAATTCCACAAGGTTCTGATTGTATTAATCTCCACCAGCTTTCAGAGAGATCATTGCCATACAAGTCATGTCCGCGTGTTTAATTTTATTTAGACTGTTGTATGAGGGGTCATGTCTTCTCTAATAAATGCTTGAATTTGCATTACCCATACTGAGAATTAACTTTTTTCAAACTTTGACACTGAGAGGCTGTGGGAACTGGGCTTGTTCAGTCTGGAGAAGAGGCAGCTTTTGGGTGATGTAATAGCAGCCTTACAAAATTGAGAGGAAAATCGAGGAGATAGGACCAGTCTCAACAATGACCTATGGTAAGAGGACAAGAGACAATGGCATAAATTGAAATTAAAAAGGTTCGGACTGGATAGAAGGAAAAAAATCCCCCCACAAGGACAGTCAGGCAGTGGAACAGGTTACCAAGGGAGGCTGTGCAGTCTCCATCCATGGGACCTCTCAACTGGATTAAAGCCTTGAGAAACTTGGTCTGAGCTCAGAGCATACCCCACTTGGAGCAGCAGGTTGGACTAGAGATGTCCTGAGGCCCCTTCCACCCTCGATTTTCCTATGGTCCTGGAAAAAAGCTTATGAATTAAGATTTTCATTTTTTTTAATCCAGTCTTTTTGATCCACACTAGCGTGGATCAGTACGTAGGTCTGCTAGCTGGGCTTTTAACAGTACAACAATACTCTCTGCAAAGATGGTCTTTGCACAGTATAAAGTCAGTCTTTGACACACTAGCGTGGATCAGTACGTAGGTCTGCTAGCTGGGCTTTTAACAGTACAACAATACTCTCTGCAAAGATGGTCTTTGCACAGTATAAAGTCACCAGTATAGGCAAATTTCTTTGCAGAAGCAAATTTCTTAAACATGTCAGTACAGTAGTAATATTTTGTTTTTCTCTGTTGTCTCGAGGGACTCCAAGTGCTTAACGCAAAAGTTGAACAGTAATGTTGGTGCAAGTCTTTTCACAAGAACACTACTTTATTTGGACCCTTTGGAGTTTGTTTGTTGGGGATTTTGGGAGGGGTGAGGGCATTTTTCCCTGGGAGCATTATTGCTTTCATTACCTCATTAGGATCCATGGAAAGGTTTATAAATACTCCATCCATGAGCCTACCACTGAGCCAGGAAAGAGGACAGTACCTCCTTCCTACACTCTCAACACCTTCCCTCTAAGTACTGTACTTTCTTTCCCCATCCACATCAGAGAGCCAAGCTAGTACTTTTTTCTCATAATCATAATACATCCAGCTTTTGCTAGACTTTTTTTTTTTTCCTTACCATGTATTTTAAGAGTAATTCTTTAAACAAGAATAATTGTATCAGTAGGCACTCGCCATGGGAAGGGGAAGAGGTATGTCAAAACTCCTAGGGAAGTTACTAATGTCAAGGAAAAGTTAAGGGAATATCTCAGGAATTCAAACATCTTTTTCTTAAGGCTGAGGTCTTTATAATACTGCTGGGGTTTAAAAAAATAACAGCTTCTTGTTGGTTTTGAAATGAATTCAGAAGGTCTTCTTGTTATTTATTTTCAGTGCAACTAGCTGCAAGTAAAGTTCAGTGCACTGTTAAATTTCTTACAACTTTTGAAAAGGTTCTCTCTAGTAGCTTTCACTTCTGTAATATTTGATGCTAGATTTTCTAAATTGTGTAATTTTTCCCTTAATATG